ATGTGACACGCAGTGCCAAGTCTTCTCCATAGCTCGGGGCTCCTTCCAAGAATTCTTTATAGGCCAAATATATATATCACATGGTCTTACCGCCACAAGGTTTCGTATTCAAAAGCTCTCAAAGGTTATAGAGATAATTAATTAAATTAATTACCACCAGCTATAATCGAACTATCGACCTTGTCTGTGGAGGGTTAGGTGCCTAGACCACTAGGCTAGGGGACCCTAACCCAATTAATTGCAATTATTATAATAAAAGTATTAAAAAAGGTATTGTATTAAAATTTATATTAAAATAAAAATATATATATATATGTAAAAACTATTGTTTAATTTGGTAAACATCCACATTTTACTATTTACTCTTAGCAATAGAAGATTTTCTAATGTATATGGGTTAAGAAACTTTCGCCAGTCTATATAGTAATACTTTACAAGTAAAAACAACTGTTCTACAGTATTAGAAGTAGGAGGAATGATATTCATATCTATGTATATCGATTCTTTTGATTTATGTTTTTTCACAACTTGTTCCTTCATAGTTAAGGAACTTTCTTCTTCAATAATAAATTCTTCAAGCTTTTGCTTTTCACCAAATGTCTGTATAGTTTTTTGTTTGCGCAGAACTTTACTAACAGCTTTTTCAAACCCTGAATCATGGATTATCTATGTATTTTTTGCTAGCCAACTTTCTAACTCTGGACATTTCTCCATTAACAAATTGAAGTAGGTACGAATATCATCCAAGTTTATAGAATCACTTTGTAAGTCATTAGTCACTTTCAAAAAATATTTAAGCTATATAATTAAGCAATCGACTTTGTCAGGATCTAATTGCTCAACTAAAGAAATATTATGACCTGTACATATATTAGAATTATGTAAAAAATAAAAAATTAAAATTAAAAAAAATAAATAAAATAAATAAAATAAAATAAAAATAAAATAAAAATGAAAATAAAATAAATAAAATAAAAATAAAATATATAAAAAAATAAAAAATTCTTGACCCAAAATCTATTCACCTGGGTAATGTGAAGAACAAGTTCCTTAAATCTTTTAAGCATTTTCATAATGCTTATCCAACATGTTGCATTTATATTTACCAAACAAACTTATAGGATTTGGGATTTGACCATGGACAAACCTGGACAAATGGAATTGTCCAGCCATATTCAAAAATCCTATATAGCAAAACTGGACAAATCTCAATCCCATATCCCAAATCTCATCTCATATCCCAAATCCCAAATCTCATTCCAAATCTCAAATCCTATTCCAAATCCCAAGTCCCAAATCCCATCTCATATTCCAAATCCCAAATCCCATTCCAAATCCCAAGTCCCAAATCCTATCCCAAGTCCAAATTCCAAATCTCATCTTATATCCCAAGTCCCAAATCTCATCTCATATTCCAAATTCCAAAATTTGCAGATATGCACATGATAAATTATCAATCTTGTGATACAATTATACATAAAAGACCCTTTGACTGCAATAATATCTTTTTTACTGGGCTTATTTTTTTTCAAACTTAAAGCAGTATAATATTTCGCTCTTTTGTTTAACTATTTATATTTTAAAGTTTCAATCGCCCATCTGACTGCTATGTATACATATAGGTAAAACTTTTTTTTGAAGTAAGTAATGCTTATTATTAAGGCTAGATTAAAGATCCATTTAATAGTATAAGTAAAAGAATACTTTTACTGAGTAACAAGTATTACTTAGACAGTTTGAGATATTGCAACTATAGTGTTCGACACTTATGATGAATTTAATGAGCTCATATAATATTCTAATGAATTTTTATTGATCTTTATTTACAAATATTTAGTTAATATAAATATTTAGGTGATATATGAAGAGCCTCAAACGACAGTTCGGTAATGATGTTGTTTAACTTTTATTGTTTGTTTTATTGAACTATTTTACTATCATTGCTTCAAATAGTTGAACATTTTTAGGCTGCACAAAGTTGGTTTTCATTTTGCATTACCTGGGTTTCAAAACTTCTGGTTGTAGCCAGAATTTAGCTTCTAAGAAAGATACTTTACTTGTTTCAAAATTACCATAATTTATAATTTTGTTGTTAGTTACCAACTCATCAGTAACTTAGCAGATTTAGGGTGTTCTCAAGCAGCATGTTTGATGTTATTAATTAGACCATTTTTGAGAACCAATGGTATAGATGATAATATGAAATATGCTGACGTATCTTTCTCAATATTATTAATTTATAATCTTTTTAGAATTTACTACAAACCAGCAGAACACAAAAATGTGTCTTTTTATTTCGGCAAAGATTTTTAACATAAATATTGAACAATTATTTTTCTAATTAACCAATAAAAAAATTTCAACTAATAAGCACAACTCTATAATATAAAAAGGATGTTTGGGCCTCTATCTCTTGTTTATTGGAACAATAAATACCCTTGATCGGTTAAATGAACTTTCACTAATAAAATACTTCTTTCTGATATATTAAACTTTTATCACTGTTTTATTTATTGGAATAATCAATAATTGATTCATTAAGCTATTTTTTTATCAATAAAAATTTACCCACAGACCTGTTCTGGCAGATTGATTATGGTGCTTAAGAACAACACCCTTACTATACCTTTCAAAAATCCTGATAACCATACTAATTGTCTACCATCTCAAAATGTTCTGACATTACTCCAACATTTCTTTTACGATATCAATATCGATATTTTTTACTATATTTATTAATTTTATTAACTAAATATTATTATTTTTTTATTTTTTTTTTTAGTTCCAATTCAGTTTATCATAAAACAAAAATTTTGGGTCAGTGAATAATGCAAAATAAAAATAAACTTTGTTTGGCCTTAGTTTGGAGAATATTAGTATAGTGCTAGCAGTTAGAAATTGTTTTTTTACCTTTTTTGAATTCCTCATATTCACCTTTTTATCACTCTATGATTGGTGGCATCTTATTTTTATGGGCACAATGATAAAATTCTTTGAGTTAGAGGGTTTGGGTTACTGTTACATCATAATAACTATAATCATTGAAATAAAATATTTTGTTAATATTTACGCATGAAACAGCCTACGTCTATGCATATTTTGAAATGATATTTTCATCTATTTGTTATATTTTATAAACAGTAGCTATATAAACTGCATCAAAAGTGACAAGATAGTGCTTAATTCTGATTAATTTAGCACTATCTTGTTGGGATATTATGTATAGAAATTACTGAAATTAGAAATAACTAGTCTTTGTAATTGAGAAAAAATTTATATATAATATTAAAAAAATCTTAAGTGTATTTTTCCAATTGATACATCTCTTTGTTAGGTTATTTTATGTATTTGGCTCTTATATGAGGTATGCTTTAATAATATTGCATAATTTCTCATGCCAGATATTTGAAATTGGTGTTATTATTTCTTCTTGCAGAATTGTGCAGAACAGACCCTTGTTAGTAATTCTTTTTTATTCTTCATATCCTTCAAAAATCATATACTTTTATATAAAAGGTACAATTTTTATTGAGATCTAGGCTGTTTTCAAGCACCTTAATTGTTATACTGTAAAATAACCTGATTTCGCTAAAAAAAAAAAATAAATAGTAAGAATTATTTAAGTCAAAACCTGTATACAAAGACCATATACGCTCTGGATTTGCTGAATCAAATTTGTATTTTCATAATTGAAATTTTGACAAAATTGTTACAAGAATCACTTCATTTAATTGAAAAAATTTAAACACCTTGGTCACTTGAGAAAAGTCTTTGTTTAAAATTTATTTTGTATATTTGTAAGCACTATTATGTAATTTTTTGGTAACGAATGATGGAATAACTCGAATATGAAGTAATTGATCAAATAATCATTTTATGCATTTGGCTATATATTTCTCATATCAGATCCTTGGCATTGGGGCTATTTTTTATGTAAGAGCTTGTAGTATTCTTTTTTAATCTTTTTAATCCTTTTAGATTCTTCAAAAATCATATAATTTATCAATTTCAATTGATCTTCATAATAAAAAAAAATAAACCATAAAAATCATTTGAGCCAAACCTGAAGTATTCTTTTTTTTATAGAATTGGCTGAATATCCCGAAGAAGTAAAAAAAATGCCACCAGGTCAACTGCAGATAAATCCATGAGCCACCTGAGTAGAAATCGAATGGGTTAAAAAAAGTAACCTAAGTAAAAATAGTAATTTTTTTTGGATCAGGTAAAAATTTACTAAGAATTTACCTCTGATCCATTAAGTGGGTGCTTGAGAACACCCTTAGTCTAATATAAAATCCGGTTTTGAAGTCTTTTTTTTTTTAAAAAAAAAGTAATCAAAATATATACAAATGCATATTTGAATTAAAGTTTTAGTAAAGTCTTGCGCAAGCAATTGCCTCCGGGTTACTCACCCACCACAGATGAGCCGAGTAGTCCCTACTCGGGTTTCTGAAGTACATAGCACTAGTAAGATTACGAAAGCAATTAAGATAAATTTTATTTTATTCTATAGATAAACAAAATTAAAATAAAAAACAATTCTGTTCGAATTTGGTTATTTGGTTGTAACAGTTGTAACATCAATAATGCTGATGATAATGCACAATTCTGTTGTAATTATGCTAACAAATAAAATATTGAATTGTCATTGTTCTTTATCATTATTCAAATTAGTGCATTAGTTAGATTTTTTTAAAATATTACTATATGACCAAATTCATAATTCAATTGTTTGAAAACATATTTAAACTTTGATGTTTTTCTTGCTAAAAAATAAGTTTGCACTCTTTAAAAATAAAATGTTGTTCACTTTATAAAATAAATAATATATATTTTCTTTCCTTTTTTTATAGCATAGAATTTTTAAAATAAGTTTTTTCTAACTTAGTGTTCTAATAACTTGGTTCACTAACAAATATTATCTTTCGCAGTGGTCTTTTTTTTGAGGACACTTTTATAGATTAGCATTTATTTAGTATAAATATCAGATTTTTACAATCATGGAATATTCTACCAACAATGATGATATTAGTACTGATGGAATTTCAACTAATCCTGTTCTTATTTCCAAAATGGATTCTGTACAAACAGATACAACACAAACATTATTTGGTGGGGACAATCCCAAGAAGATATTTGGAAGGAATTTGACATTATAAACAATGGAAAAGGAAAACATAAAGAAGCAAGGTGTAAATTTTGTAATACATCTTGGAGTTGAGGAAGAGCTCAAGATATAAAGGCTCATCTTGGAATGAAATGTAAAGAAAAGGTACCAAGAGAAATTTAACTTAGGGTATTTCGGGACCTTCAAAGTGAAAATGGGCATGTGCTACCTGGAACATCTACCTTAAAAAAAGAAAATCAGGCAATACAATATTATCTCTTGAAGATTACTATGATACTAAAGAAGCCATTGACAAAAATAAAGAAAAAATAGTTAATAAATCATTAATCAAGTAGATTGTGTGTCCTGGCATTTTATTTTCTGCCTTTGATAATCTGTATTTTGAAGATTATACCAAAATATTAAACCCAGGATATAGCCCACCTAAGCGAACTACATTGGCAATATCAATATTGGATGTAGAAGCAGCAAACATAATATTAAAGATAGAAAAGGAACTATCAAAATCTATTAACCTTACATTGTGTGTTGACGGTTAGTGCAGTCCAATAAAGCATAGCATATATGCCTTCATTATAATGACTAATAAAAAAAACAATATGTATATTCTTTATATGATTTTTCAAAGTACTCTCATACAGCCAAGTTTAATACAGAAAAAACAATAAAAGTATTAGAAAGTGTCGGGCCTGAAAAATTTGTTGCAATAGTTTCTGATGCGGAATCGACAATAATAGCAGCAAAATAACTGGTTGGAGTAAAATATCCACATATCTTACCCATTAGGTGCATCACACACTACATAAAATTAATTTCTAGTAGTATCTGCTATTTATCTCATGCTTGTAATATCCTTTCTAATTGTCAAAAAATTGTAAGTTTTTTTAGGAATTCTTATATTGCTAGTGCTGCCCTTAGAGAAGAAATTATATATTCCTTCATGGTTGGTGGAAATTTAAAGTTAAGTAATAAAACCCGGTGGTCAACGGTATGAGATTGTTGTGAATCAATTTTATATAATAAAGCAAACATTCGATCGGTATTAAAATTTTTGCTATATATATGTATATATATACAGTCAGCTTTGCATTTTTATAGAATAGGTTTGTTATAAAAAGGCTTGTTATATTCAGAGTTGACTGTATATAAATTTTCTATTTACAATAGTTATATAAAGTATAACAAGTAATAAATTAAAATAACTTAGATTTTAGAACAAGACCCTCAAATTTTTGATTATGCAATAAAAAATTTAATAACTAATCATCAATTTTGGATTGAAGTAGAACAATTACGAAATATTCTTGTGCCAGTAAAACTGGCTGTAAAAAATGTAGAATTTTGAACTACCTTGTTGGCTAATGTCTTCGTTGAACTAGTAAAAATAGCAATTGCATCTGAGAAAGTACCATTCTATATAACAGCCATTTTCGGCGTGATTGCATTGCCATTTATCTCTTAAATTGTAACACAGGCAAATTTGCCTGTGTTTTTATTAAAAAGTTTAATTTTTTTAATAAAAACTTAT